TACAGTATATATATATATTGGAATTGGGAGTTTAGTTATTTGGAAGCTAGAAAAATCACTTGATGCAAACAAACAACTCACATAAGTAAAAAAACAAGACCAAAAAAAACTGAATACATGAATACATAAAATAATAACATTTTGTTAATGAATAATAACTAAATATTTAATTGTGTTATAAATTGCTTGAGTTGGAAATGCTGGGCAAAAAAAATAAAAAATCTTGTGTCTAGTAGGCGGTCGATATTTTATGAAATGCTGTGGCATCTTTCAGGTCATTGGCCCAGCGGTATTTAAACTGATTTTAGGTTAACGACATGGAAGATTGATGTGCTTGTTTAAGAAAATGTAACAATTTCTTGTTGAAAAAAAATATCCTTTGAAATCACAAAGACAATAAGTATATTTTTTGATAAAGGTACCCGAGTGATTGGAAGAAGAGATAGCACTCACCTTGGTTACGTCCTGGAGCTACACTGGTTCATTTTACCAGTGGCCAGCGGGATCCTATCAGGGGAGCTGATCGATTTGCCACCTGTGAGGTTGCTGCGTTCCTGCATTGTGTGCGGCGGCTACTGTGTCAGGTTCACCCCGGTGTAACAATGAGGTGTACCATCTGATGGATGATGTGTCGTGCTTTACATTCATAGAAGACAATGGAGTTTTACGGTAGGGTGCTACAAAGACAAAATCACATTTAACCTGTTTATTATTGATATTGGGGAGGGCGTAAATTATTATTAATATTCAGGATTTATATAGCGCCAATAGTTTGCACAGCGCTTTACAATATAGGGAAGACATTACAATCACAATACAATTCAAGACAAGATGGTAAGGAGGGTCCTGCCCCTGAGGGCTTACTGTATTTGCTGATGATACTAAAATCTTGAGGGTAATAGACTTGGACTTAGACACTATAACATTACAGGGGGACCTGGATAAGATAGGGGAGTGGGCAACTATTTGGCTGATGAGGTTTAATGTCGATAAATGTAAAGTGATGCACTTTGGGGTTAAAACCAGGCAAGCGGAATACACATTAATGGGAACTCCACTAGGGAAGTCAGAAATGGAAAAGGATCTTGGGGTAATTGTAGACCATAGATTGGACAATAGCTTGCAATGCCAGGCCGCGGTAAACAAAGCGAGCAGAGTTCTGTCTTGTATTAAGAAGGGAATGTATTGTAGAGACAAAGCAATAATTTTACCACTTTATAGATCGCTGGTTCGGCCTCATCTGGAGTATGCGGTCCAGTTTTAGTCACCAATCCACAGAAAAGATGTCCTGGAGCTGGAGAGAGTCCAGAGAAGGGCAACTAAACTAATTATGGGGCTGGAGGACCAAAGCTATGAGACAAGGTTGCTAAATTTAAACATGTTCACGCTGGAAGTGAGGAGATTAAGGGTGGATATGATTTTGATGTACAAGATGTTCAATGGTGATAGCAACATCAGCAATAAGCTTTTTACTGTAAGCTCCCTAACAAGGACTAGAGGCCACCACCTAAAACTGGTGGAGAAAAGATTTAACCACATGGGGCGTAGGGGCTTCTTCTCAGTTAGAGCGGTTAGGGTCTGGAATTCGCTGCCACAAGCAGTAGTATCAGCTGAGAGTGTTGAATCATTCAAAAAGCATTTGGACGATTTCCTCAGAGACCGTAACATACAGGGGTACAGGTACCATTAAAAACAGGAACACACAGGGACTCATACACATGTATACACATGCAGAATCACACACATACACACAATAGGTTGAACTTGATGGATCTGTGTCTTTATTCGACCTCAAATACTATGTAACTATGTAACATTAAGTCCAACCTAAAAAAGATAATAAATGCATAAAAATAAAAAATAAACTGAAATCAAAAAAAGAATTGCTCAATTCACCATAAGCTATTATCAGATACACACATGCTCTACATGGCCCTGACCATCAAAGCTATGTGCACTTGTAGAACATTCCATTTTAAAACCACAGGCTCTAACACTTAGGTGGCCCCACATCACAGTTATACCATCCTCCACTCTTCTGGGAAGACGTTCCACAAACTTTTGGAGGGTGTCTGTGGGAATTTGTCCCCATTTGTGAGGTCAGGTACTAATGTTGGATGAGAAAGTCTGGTTTCTCGTCAGCATTACAGTACATTCCAAAAGGTGCTCAGTAGGGTTATCCTAATCCAAAAACATGGCCATTAACATGAAATTGGCTTCCCTTTTGTAGCTATGAAGACCTCCACTGTTCTAAGAAGGTTTTCCATAAGATGGAGTGTCTGTGGGAATGTGTGTCCATTGCTGAGGTCAGGTCCTGATGTTGGATGAGAGGACCTGGCTCACAATCGGCAATCCAGTTCATCCCAAAGGTATTCAGTAGGGTTGAGGTCAGGGCTCTGTGAAGGCCACTCAAGTTCCTCCACATCAAACTGGTCAGACCATGTCTTTATATAACTGGCTTTGTACACAGGGGACAGTCATGGTGGAACAGAAAAGGGCCTTCACCAAACTGTTACCACAAGGCTGGAAGAGCACAATAGTCTACAATGTCTTTGTATGCAGTAGGGTTACCAGTACCCTTCACTGGAGATACCTCAGCTCAATCATTTGGAGGGGGGGTTGCATACTTTTGGTGATATAGTGTATGCACACACATAGATGTCATGTTTCCACTTGGTTAGATACACTATAAGGGAGAACTTCCTCTACTTCCTCTACAGGTTACAAAAGTTCGGTAAACTCCTGCAAAAGCTATGATATAGGAACACGCTGTGTTTACAGAGGCCTGGGACAACAATATGCAACTTGGCCCAATAACCAGATAATACACCATATAGGACAGACAACACAGTTTGGTTGATGAAAATATTTTATTCCCTCCTCGGTAACAATGGATGCAGAATTTTCAGTCTTAATTCACTCAATCATTATAGGACATATCTAATACATAAGGCCCAAACCAAGTACTGAGTACATATGCATGCTTGTACTTTTCAGAGGTCCGATATTGTTCTATGTACAATCCTTGTTTTATTGATTGCATGTAATAATCTACTTTTTTGAGGTTGTGGATTTGGGGTTCTTGGGGTTTTCATGAGCTGTAAGCCATAATCATCACAATGATGACAAATCACGGCTTGAATTATCTTGCTTTGCATGTAATGAGTCCCTCTCATATATTAGTTTCACCTTTTAAGTTGCCTTAGTGAAATAAATGAACTTTGCACGATATTCTAATTATTCGAGTTTCACCTGTACATACACACACACATTATATATACACATTATATGCACACATTATTATTATTATTTATTTCTTTTAAAGCATTTATAGTGAATGGATTTCTTTTTTTTTTTTTTTTAAACCAAAAATCCAGTTTGGGTTTCATCATTTTTCCCAATTTAGCGGATTTGCCCTGAAGAGTGAGAATGTTTTCTGAAACTTGAAATGATCAGAGACTTTCTAGATCTTGAAACTGTCATAAAAACCTCCTTCCCAGTGCATGAAAGATGAACGCAGTTGGGAGAGGCTGCAACACTCATTTCTGCTCTCCAACTGCAGTCAGCGCAAGGGCGGCTGACCTATTGCAAGCCTGATAACACAACTAAACATGCGACATTTCATCTGGTGTGTATAGGATGATGCAAAAATAATAAAGAAGGATTACAGGTAGACATAGAACATTACGCAGATCCATTTAGCAGTTTTTCAGTATGGGGGTCATTTATAAAATACGCCGGTTGGACGCAAGGAGTATAGGAATTCAGCGCCATCCTAGGGGTGCTAGTGCAGTGTGGACGGCATCTACCCAGCTACCACCCAGGTGGAAGTTTTATAGTTGGGGCCCTAAGCATAAGCTATACCAGGTCTAAGCAACGTCATTAATTTCCAGGTTACATTGCGCACTTCTTCTTATTTATACACCGGGGGATGGGCTCGTCAGAGAGGACGTACCCATCGTTGCACACGCAGCGGGGCATGCAATGTTTAGATGGCTGATAGTGGATACCCAGAATGGCGCAGGTCTCCAGTGGCTGTCTGTAACATGGCGCAAAGTGTGCGTTTTGCTGGCAGGTCACATTACAAGAGTCGATGGGCACGCAGACGTCCGAATCGGCCGACTGGAAGGCGAACCCTTCATTGCACGTACAAGCCGGCGTACACTTTGCACTGCAAACCGGGAGGTTGAAGGTGTCGCAGCTACTGTGGCAAGAAGATCTGCAGCCGAAGGACGAGTCAGGAGGGCAGGGAGCATCTACAGTGATAAAAGAGAGATGTCACGAAGAGGATTACAGAGCCCAATAGCTAAAGCACGTCACCAAAATGTACATTGTAGCCCCCCCTCCAGAAGGAAGGACAGTGTCAGCACCAATTCAGAGATGATTGGAGGTTTTACAGCCGAGTGATACACAAAAAAGATACATTGTTGTTAATAGTTAAGGGACTTCAATGTATTTTTAAGGTTAAGTGTCACTTTAACTGCTACAATCACATATGTAAATTTTAAAAATGTACAACAAAATAAATAAGGGGAAAAGAGAATGAAGGAACTAAAAACTAATTAGGGTTCACTAAGATGTTTGTTTAATGTAATTTATTTTTTAATCTACACATAAAAGTAATGAATAGAAAAAAAGCTATAATAGTTTTTGCCATGGCGCAGGACAGGAAGAGAAGAGAAACGTCTCCTAGGGGACACAGCTGAGAGGAAACCTGGAAGGGGTGTAACATTTCCTACTCCAAAACGAAAACAAAAACAAAAAAAGTTTAGGGTATGATACTTTTATGTGTTAGGCTGGGCACACACCTTACAACCATCGCAAGACTTTTGTCTTGCGATGGTTGTAAGGTACTTAAAAAAACGTACGATCTGCCTATGTTGCATAGGCAGATCGTACTTGCGATGATCGCAAGCCACGCCCCCTGAGGGGCGGGCTTCCGATGACCGCAATGCCGAACGGGCAGTGTGCGCTTGCGCACACCGGCCCGTGCGGCTGTTATCGTACGGACATGCCACAAACCCGCTGAACATCGTACGATGCTCGGCGGGTTTTCAAACATGTCCGTAAGTTTAAAGTCGTGCGACCTTACAGTAGTAGAGGTCGCACGGCTTCCACACACCTTACGATCATCGTACGATCGCGGGATTTCCCGCGATTATCTTACGATAATCGTAAGGTGTGTGGGGACCCTTAAGCTGACCATACACCTTACAACCATCGCACAACTTTTGTTGTGCGATGGTTGGAAGGTGATTAAAATTCCGTATGAACTGCATCCATCTTGGACAGGCAGATCGTACTTGCCCGCTGAGGGGAGGGCTTGCCGAGGATTGCAATGCCGAGCGGGCAGTGTGCGCTTGCCAGTGCGGCTTTCTTCTTGCGGACGCGCTACCAACCCGCCAAAAGCTGTACGATTTTCGGGCGGGTTTTCTAGCGTGCCTATAAGACGAAAGTCGTGCGACCGTACAGTAGAAACGGTCGCACGCTGCCCATACAACTGCCGATTATCGTACCGTTGCGGGATCACCCGCAATTATCGTACGGTAATCGGCAGTTGTATGGGCACCTTAACTTCAGTGGTTAAAGTTCAAAAATGTAAAGCCCCACTGCAACATATTTTTTTCTAGTTTCGGATAAGGTGGTGAAAGGTTAGAACTTCTTGAAATATAATGGAATTTTCCTGTCATAGCATAAAAGATTTGCACTTCAAGTTAAAAAAAAAAAGATCTCGTGTTTCCTGCAGCGTGACTGTTTACATTAGAAGATTTACTCTGATTGGCTGCCGCTTTGCTCTGACACCTGTTTTTGAAGTCCTTTTATATATATATAAATAAATCTGTGCCCAAGAGACTGCGGGCGATTGGTAGCCGGTACATAAGCCCCCTGGGGATAAGCAGTCTCTTGGACACAGATACCAAATCCAAGGGAGTAGTGGCAAGCAGTGCAGTGTTTATTGGTGATATTTACAAGGAGCCTCCACAGGTGCTGTACATAGCGGGGTTCACGAGAAAACTAATAAAAATAAAACCTAGCCGTATCCCGGAACTAACTTCATAAACAAAAGATATAGGTCCTAACTAACAGGCTGAGCAGGCCTACCGCGTGTCAGCCTCCACATGCACCATTTGCTAGTTGTTGGTTTTTTTTTACCAAACTTGCAGCTCTCTCACACAGGACTTGTCTGATCCCCAGCCTGAGAGCTCTGACTACAGGTTCCAGGTGAGATTAAATTGCCAGAGGAGAGAGGAGTAAACGCTACACTGGAGCCCGGATCAGCAATCCCTAAATAGGAGAGGAACCTGGGAGACCTATAAACTCCGAACAGGACTTTCCCACGCTCATTATATATTTTTTATTATATATTTTTATTGTTATTATTTTTTGTTTTAGTGTGAAAGCTTATAACCTCTGCTATGTTTTTCTGGGTCCCTGTGGGGGAGATTTGCTCTCGCTTTCTGTTCTGATAACAACCAGGGCTTATTCCTCCAACTGGAGCCCTGAAGATTCATCCACTGCCCTGATGCTGCTTGAGCTTTACAGTTTGCTGGAAGCTAATATAACGACAAGGAAGCTAATGTGTGTTACATTGGCTGTATTTAAAGCTGAACCCCAGGCAGAGAGAATAAGCAAAAATGAATGCACCTCCCTAATCATCAGTACATCATTAAATTTATTTTTTTAAGTGCAGGCTGAAATTGACCTGGCACAAGCCTCTTGAAATTCATTTAGAGCAGGACTGGAGTGTGAGAGGAAGAAGCAGCACAAGGAACCAATCAGTTCACGTGCTGTGAATGTGCTCTATGTAAAGCACTGTGTACAATTGATGGCGCTATATAAATACCTTTAATAAATAAAGACGCATGCTGAGAGCAGAGTGACCCAGGGATGAGCTTATCACTGTGCTGCTTCTCCTTTCACTCTCCAGTCACAGGCTGGGGAGGGTCCATGATGACTGGGGCTCAGAGGAAGTGGGTTGAATGATGCTGCTAATCTGACTGAGGACATCTAGTGGCAGAGAAAAGTAATGCCGGGGAAATCTCTTTGAGCAAAAGTAAATATTGCCGCAAAAGCTGTTTTTGTTATTTTATTTTAAATAAGGACAGTGGGCAGAGACATCATTCCGTGGTGCCCCATCATCCCAAAACACTGGTATATAATGCAAATGTATCCAAATATCCTAGAGCCAGTTATTCCATTCTGCTTTTTGGCCATTTTCAGTGCAGTGTATTGAAACCATGACTTCCATGGGGGGTGGCTTGGGACCCAACAAGACATTCTGTGCCCCGGGAATGAGAGGGCGGAGGCAAGAGGTTGTATATGCCAATTGTTCCTGGGGATTTACACTATATTGCCAAAAGTATTGGGACATCCCTCCAAATCATTGGATTCAGATGTTCCAATCATCTCCATGGCCACAGGTGTATAAAATCACGCACGAGAGAATGGGCTCTCAGGAGCTCAGTGACTACAAGCGTGGTACCGTGAT